CACTTTATACCTTCTACCCTTGTTACATATTTCGGTCCGAACGATGATCTACCATTGTCCGATCGATAATCTCACGATGGTTAAAGTAGGACAGAAGCAGAGAAACAAGCACCGTTTAGATCCAAACGCAAAGTTATCTAAACGCCTTCAGAGTTAAATATGCAACCTCGGCCATCGAGGTAAACATCGAAAGAACCGATATGAGATGATATCGTATCGTTATACGATGGAGTCCATGGTGGGAGCTAACAGTATCTTCAAAGTGGAAAACTGTCGCGAGAAACCTCACTTGATCGGGTTCACAAGAGTTTCCGTCGTTGAGGCGTCGAACCGTTTCGTTGGAATCGTGGATGATCGCGGCCCTCTTCGTCGAGATTATTCTCGGTGAAAGCGGCTCGAGTGGCAAACATATTATGAATTACCCCGGTACAAGCGTAAGCGAGTCTCACGGCCACTTTCGCGGGGGTGAATCGAAGCGCGCGTGATTACGATTGCTTTACGAGGCGGTACCCAACGAGAACGGCAATAATTTTCCCGGAGCACGCTGGATGGAATAGAGCCGCGGGAATAAAAAGCAAAAATTCATCGGAAGGTAGCCGAGGTGACGTGTACCAAATTGAATACGATTGGTACAAACACAGAGCAACCGGGGCTGCCCCACCCCTTTCCACGCCGTTATCCGCCTCGAGCATCTCGCGCAACGCTCGGCGACCAGCTCGAAATTCAATTTACATATTCATGACAATTCATTTGTACCCCATGCTACGACATAGCCGACCCCACCAAGGCGGTCTTATTAATTCCTGTTGCCCTCGCCCCCCCACCCCCACCCCCACCCCCACCCGCCGGTTGAATTCCCGAAACGAGGAATAAAGAACGGGAAAAGAAGCGAGCTGGCTCTCGACCTGGCCCGTAAGAATTCACTTTTTGGCGTTGGAATCTCGCATACCCGCTGAGACGTTAATAAAATACTGGACGTTCCTTCGGGATTGTTTCTGGGCGACCGGAACCTGGGGAACGGTTCGTGTAAACTCGAGGCCGCGATGCCTTACATATTCATTTTCCATCGAAGGCTTTCTAAAGTGCGCATGAATACGAAGTCTTGAAAAAGATTACGCAATAGCTGGGCCACCGCGAACCCGACAATACCAAAATATTCAATACCAGGTTCAGGGACGCGGGACTTTCGCCATTGTACCTCTGCGTGGGACACGTGATTAATAAGCAAAAGATCGGGAATAAAGGTTACGGAAAGATGATCTCTTGTCGCGAGAAATGCCACGCCAATGTCACCACGAGAAACTTACTATTACTACAAAGACGTATCACGCATGAAACCGTAAAACATTTGATTTCTGAAAAATGGCGAACATCTATTCTTGGAAATCTCGACTTGTCCAATGACAATTTTTTAACTTTAGTATATAGTACTTGTACGTGGTCTGCGGATGTTTACGCATTTATATAATAAATTTAAACGATATTTTAAAATATATAAAATGTCAACGATAATACGCGTACTGCACCGTTTGAAAAATAACACATTCCTTTATTTAAGTTTCAATTCTGTTTCTGTATCTATGACAAAATTAATTTGCAAATGTACTATATAGAAATTATATCCAACTGTTTCATGAATTGTTCAATTGAATTCCACGTAAAGTACTTTTGCATTTAAACGAAAAATGTGTCTTTAAGAGTAGTCATTTATCCTATCGCGTTAGAAATAGTTACAAATGAAGCTCAGTAGGTTTAGCGTTAACCCTGTGAAATTTGCCCACCTTTTTCTAACACCCTGTATTAGCCCAAGGAAGAGAACCGTTGCCAATACACTCCCTAGCGTGTTTGCTCGTATAATATGCACAGAGGAGTTAGAATTTTCCATGCACGTATAGCCTGGGTACTTCCCTTTGAAATCCTCGGGCGCAAGTTTCGTTTATCGAGTGACGTTTCCGCGACTATGCGGAAATACAGAGAATATTCCCCGCTAGACGTACATTCGATACCCGGGCGGAATCAATAAAAGTACATACACCGGCGAGATATCGGCGTCAATGTTCTGTCGCGGAGCATTCGATCTCGGTAACGTTCAAATAAATCGAACGATCTCGGACGCGGCGACATGGGAAATTATTTATTTTATGACTCCGTTTTATGGCTGCGAAGGATTCGACGAGAACCATTCGCGATATTGCGATATCCTAGAAAACGCACGCTCCTACGCGTCGTAGACGTTAACCCTTTGTAACTCCCCGCTCTGAAGTCGCGTGCAAGAAGATGGCCTCCGGCGACGGCCGAAAACGCGCCATTCTACGAAAATAGCGAACGGGGAAATTCGAGGAAAGTGTTCGCTCCGTACAAAGGAGAAATAGTAACTCCGCTGACAGCAACGTTTGATTTTTTCATTTCATTGATTTTTTCATTTTTCAAACGCGATCGAAAGGAAAGACGCAGACTGATCTAACCCAAACCTACATCCGGAACGACTCCACTCCTCTCTACCTTTACGTTCTGCTCGTTGGATCGCAGATCAGGACAGCCCTTCGATGAATAAAAACGCAACTTGTTGGATCGCATTCCGCCAAAAATATAACGTCTCTGTTATAGATAACTCGACCGTCGACTTTTATCCAATTTTTATGCACGTCTTCCAAACACCGTAACACGTATTTTCTACATTTTTTCCATTTACGTACATCCTCGTACATTTTCCCCTACTTTCGCTTGCCGTGAATGGATAAACGTCCCCAGCCTATAAACAACTGTTTCGAATCGCGCGACGGTTACTCGAATTATGAACTTATAGGGCCATTAAAGCGAGTCGCGGATCGCGGAGCAGGAAGCTTATTACGATCGTATCTTGAACGGTCGTAAACCGTTTCATTCCGCGTCATTCATAAGCAAGTACGTACACAAAACCGCGACGCATCCTTAAAATTCTCCGGAGAGTCGTTCGCGAGCCCGCGAGTACCTCGCGTAGGGATATTTCCACGGTGACCTCGGTCCGTTTAGCGGTTATCCGCGGTATCTTTAGTCGGCCAGGAAAAACCCGTCCTCGAAACTTCTCCAATTAATGTAATCGTGATGCAGGCAGTAGGATCACGTAGAATGGTAGCTGCGGCAGGGTTGCGGGACGAGCGATTCACCGCACTGTGAACGACTCGGTTTATTGCAATACCGCTTTCATCCCTCCCCTTCCCGCTACTCCATCCCTAGTGGAAAATATCATCGCGATCCCGTGCTCGTAAACACGACTCCCTTTCGCTCACTTACGCGACTCGCGTTACCTTGGCGCAGGTGCGCTGACGCCTTGCACTAGGTGTACCAACGAACCGATACCTTGAGATAATCGTTCCGTAGATTTCAACAAAACTTTACTCCTTTGACTATATACGAATCGCACGAGTCTATCTTGACTTTAATTGACCACCTTAATTTTAGGAAAAATAATATGAAAATTTGTAACTTTGACACGGGCCCTTGTGAAACATTATAATCATCAAAGTTTATAAGTATCGGTCTGGCAGACGACGTGTTAAACAATTCGTCGAGGAACAAATTTCGGAACGACGGAGTGCGACGAGTTCTATTTTAATTCGTTTAGAGACGTCGCGATCGAAGATCGTGAAATATCATTATGCGGATACTTCCCTCGAAGCTGATAAATGAACGTTGTCGCAACACGATCGCGCGAAGGTCCCTCGTAGATCACGTTGCATATACGACGAGGGGAGGGAGAAGGATTCGATAGCCTACTTCGCTTGTTGGCAGCCTCCGAAACTGAGATTATCCGGCCATCAACCTCGATGCGGTTTGCAACCGACGCTTTCATTGCAGCCCTCTTTCACGGGGATCGCTGGCGCTAAATGATACCTCCGGAACTCGTGCCAAAGTATGCCCACTCATTGCCGCGTTCCGTGGGCTAAGAATTGTCTGGCTATCGAGTTTAATATCCGGCCGCTTCGTTATTTGCTCGCAGCCGCGGCGGGGAGTTCCTTCGAAGGAAATTGCGGACGGCGCGTCGTCGAATGCCCCCGCGACTTCGGTAACTTGAATAAAACCGTTTATGGTATTGCTCCTAAGGATCACGGCCAATTCCGCGGAAGTTCCCTTTCAAACCTGCGCAACACCCCTTTCACAGCCCCCCAGGCCCCGTCTTACCCGCGCCGCTTCGTCGTCATAGCGCGGGGCAATTTTGGTACACGATCGTGAAAAGAATTTCGACGATAAAACTGAGGAGCGGACACCTAACATCGAAGAATCGCGTCCTCGATTATCCTCGATTCTCCTAATTTCGACGAATTTACGGGTTAGTATCGTACGGTTGGATAATCATCGCTGACTTGAGGGAACTTTGGTGCGTTATACGCGGATATTTTGGAATGCGATGAGATCTGATAAAACCAAAAGAGTTCTCGGATAGTCATGAGCATGCTGAAGACAATTCGGAAGAGCGAGTAGTCACCCCTGACGTGGTAAACGTACCGCTGATTCGCGCAATTAAAATTGTTTAAAAAATTATCCAACAGTTCTAGTCGATCAGGAACTATGGAACTATCGAAAATGAAGTCGGAACTGTCAATGCTGGAATATACGATCGACAAAAATCATTCGACATCTCATATGCTGGACGCGTGAAAGGACGTTTATATGAGCAATTCTCTGAACGAATGAACACGTCCGTTAACGAATGGTTCCTTTGTCGGACGACTAATCTTGGTCCCTGTGACTGGATTTTTCAACCAGTCAGTTCTTTGATAGATTTCGTACGGTACTCTAATTCCCTCGTTATTAATCAAATATAATAAATAGTATTTTATTCGATACAAAGTGAAACATTCCAATAGTTAATTATTTATAAACTCCCACAAAGTGAACTACAGGTATCGCACAGCCTATAAGAACCTAACGGAAAATCCAAGAATTTTTCCCATCCGAGGGATCCCATCTCCTATCTTGGAGGCGCGATAAAATAAATATAAAATAAGAATGTCCCTTAGGTCACACGGATTACTTGCGGGGCTGCATGGCCGACATAATCTACAACGGCGCCAGAGTAATAGAACACGCGAAGTCGAGGAAGGGCCAGTCGGAGGCCACGGCCGTAACGTGGGGCTGCTCGCCGGAATTCGACGCCACCAGGAGCACGGAAGTCAGCTTCGTGGAGGACGGCGCGTTCACGGCGATCCCGAGGCCCATTCCGCGCTCAGGCTCGAGGTACGTATCCAAAGCGCCCTTTCATCGCGTGAATTACACCGAAGCGCGTACCTCGCCAGACATAACCCCGTTGAAAATGCCGTTAAGCCTGCCGTACGTAACCGAATTAATTTCATATTCAACCTTCGTCGGCGATAATGGAAGCAAAATTGCTTCCTTCCTAATTACCGCTCGATCCTGCTATTCGAACTTTCTTCAAATCTAGCGTTGTTGCTGGCTGGAATAATTGGGACACGCTCGAGCGATCGGAAACTTCGCTCGGTACCTTGTATCGAGGGAAACGAGCCACTTTTGGGTACGTCTGGGCGAATTTGGTACTATTCAAAGATCGAGTCTATCTACCGGGTCTTATATTTTCCTCGAGTACTGTTTAAAGTAAGATTTTCGGGGTTTATACGAATTCAATAATAATGACACGATTGGTGATCTTGCAAAAGTGGGTCCTTGTAAGAGTCTATCCTTACTCGATGGATTAGCATGCACTTGTAAATGTACAGTGTCCCAGCCTGAGTGATACGGAGCTCTAACTCCAAAACTATCATGTTTCAGCGAGAACGAATTTTTATTAACTTTGTTATTTAACGAGATATGATGGTCAAGTTTCGTTTTTCAAATGGAACTATATATATATATATTAATGAATTCGTCTTGAAAAGTATTATCGCATGGTATACAAATATATATAAAAATAAATATATATATTTCTATACCATGCGATAATACTTTTCAAGACGAATTCATTAATTAAAAGAATTCAATAATTCAAAGTACCATTTGAAAAATGAAAGTTGACCATCATATCTCGTTAAATAACAAAGCTAACAAAAATTCCTTCTCGCTGAAACATGAGTACCATTTTACCATGAATTTCCATATTTGAAATTTTGCATTCGACCGATAGTTTTGGAGTTAGAGCTCCGTGTCGCTTACGCTGGTACACCCTGTATGTTGATTAGTAAATAGTTGCATTGTCTTCCGGTTGCCTTATGAAAGCTGCTCGCAGATGTTTATGCATTCATAACAAGTTGAAATATGGTAAAATGCACACAAGAATGTGCACAAGTGCAAAAGTATGTATATAAATATTATACCGTTTAGAAAATAAAATTTTACTCTGGATCCGTGGAAATATGAATTTGCATAGACATCCTACTTATAAAGTACAAATTTAACCAAAGTGTTTTTATTGTAGTGGATTGATAATAAACGCGATAGTTGAAATAAATATCTGAGAGACAGAACATTGTACGCGTTCATGGTTTCCTCACGTGAACGAGAAAACGATTCGGACCTCCGGCAAGCAGACTTAAAGTTTAACGAGCACAATGCTAAACACTTTACAGAGCCGGTGTTATTAGTGGTTCCTGAAATTGCGAATAGAAGACCACACAGTCAACGACAATATTGGACGCACGTCTGTTTAAAGCCTCGAGTCAATATGAAATGTAATTCCCATGTACTCGTACGTTTCCATATTCGATTCGTTTGTCGAAAATGTTCGTGAAGCTTTACTGTTCGCAACTTGTACGGTGGAAAATCGAGCATACAAAATAAACAGTCGAACGTGAGTAATAAGGTAAAAATAGTCCATCTGGTCGAGTCATAAATTTTTTTAATGAAATTTTAACGTATTCGTAACTCTAATAACGATCGTGGCTGTCCTGTGAAATTTTACGAAGCATGTTTTTAAAGTGTAGCGTCGAAAACATTGAAAATCAATTATGAAACAACCTTGATGACGTTGAAGAAAAAAAATAATCGATGGATTTAGGTACGGGGACGAGAAGGGTTTAACGTCGCGAACATCCGGGTAACTTTTAACAAGAAAAGCCAGCGAGAAGGTAATGAAAGCGACTCGAAAAGCTCCAAACAACGATCGTAATCGCGTTACGACGCAGACGTCGCTAATAGTTACAACGAGCTCTCGTCGTATCCTCTACGAAGGCACTTTGATCCCACTTTTCAGAATAACAAAAGACTTTCGGGGACAGGGCGTTCGATTCGCTCCGAGAATCACAATGGTAAACCTCTCCTAGCTCTGCCGTCGATAAAAAGAAAAAAGAAGAAAAAAAGAAGGGAGGGGGGGGGGTAAAAGAATAAAACGACGTTTGCGGAATTAATGCTATTGAGAATCGTGCCCGTGAAGTGTCGTCTGTACCGAGGTATTGAATAAATATTGAACGACGCGCGAGCGCTTTCAGGCATCGATCCGCCGTGCTTGATAATAAATTCATCTGTATACGTGATTTATAAGACGGTTAAGCCCGCCGTGGCGCGGCCACGGAACACCCGCTTTTCAATCAACCCGATACAGATTTTCCCGGACGTTGTACTGGTTGAAATTTTAATTGACGGGCTCATCGGGGGATATTATACGGAACGAGAAATGGCATTAAGACGTACAGACTCTATTTATATACCAACTAATTGGGCCAAGCGATATCGTGCCCCGTCCGAGACGAGCTAGAAGCTTCGAACGGGAATTAAGCGAAAACAAAAATTACAAATAAGACGATCGTGTTCCAAGAAAATTGGAATGGGGAAATACCAGCTACAAACGCTCGCGTTAAGGTCGATTCAGGCTATACGACACGTACCGTCACGGTCCGGCAACGACACGTACCGGCACCGACACGACAAAAACATTCAAACACGCGTCTTAAGGGACATATTGGAACATCAAAAAATGAAAAAAAAAATCATTTTTTTTTTTTTTTGTTTGTTAAAATTTAGACGATTCTGAACAATTCTACGGAAGAAACATTGAATTTGATGCACTAGAAGTGGTAGAAAAATTTTTAAAAAAAATTTTTTTGTTTTTCACAAAACTTCTTTCTTTCTCAAAAAACAAGTTCGACGACATGAAGTTAGTAAAAAGAACGCGATAAAACTGTAAAAAATATAAGGAAATACAATTGACAACTTTCTCGAAACGAAAACAACGCCAGTCAGATCGGAGACGCGGTTACACCTCGGTCACAGCCATAGGGTAAGAAGACAGTAATTTTCCGAAAAAGCAGTGTTGTAATCGATTTTGATAAAATTAATGAATAAATTAATAAATAAAATTAGATAAAATTAATAAATTTGAGAAAAAAAGAAATTTGTGTAAAACAAAATTCCATTTTTTTTTTTTTTTTTTTCAAAAAATTTTTTTTACCACTTCTAGTGCTCCAAATTCAATTTTCTTTGCGTAGAATCGTTCAGAACCGCTTAAATTTGAATAAAAAAAAATTTTTCAAAAAGTGATTTTTTTTCTCATTTTTTGATATTCCAAGCCCCTTAATGGAACTATTCGCATTATTCCCGTTGACGGAACGTTCAGGTCGGCGTTTGTTAAGTGTAAATAGTTCCATTAAAACGCGCGTTTTAATGTTTTGTCGTGTCGGTGCCGGTACGTGTCGTATAGCCTGAATCGACCTTTATTCCCTATTACTCTGTTTTTGTTTTTTTTTTTCCTACCCGATGCTTCCACATGTTATCCAACGTTAGGGATGGAACGTTGAGGAATTCTCGCGAAAGGAATCGAACTTCCGCGGATACTTGCGCTTTTCCACACAGAGAACGCACATACAACGAATAGACACGAATAGTAATAGCAATTAACACTGTTTAAAGGTTACAGGCAACTAGTCGCGTCACTGATCCCACCAATTTGCAACAATGGCGCCCCGCGTCTTACGCCTCCTGGCGAGAGGCAGAGAAAGCTTCGCGCACTTATTCAAATTCATATTTCCGAGAGACGTTTAATGTTTAATGTTTATTTTTTAATAAGAAACGACTGTAAGAGACGCACTACCGTACCAGAAACCTGGGTGGTACGACGGAGTACATTTGAAAGTTCGATATCGTAGGAATCTTTCAACAATCAATGCACAACTAACGAAATTACTGATTCTTACGCGTCGGTAACAAACGCGTTCGTGTCCCATCGAGCCCGACGCTCGCGAGCTCGGTAAACTTCATTTCCGTCGGGACTCGAGAAGAGGTTTCTCTGGTGTCCTTCAGGACCGTGATTCATACCGCGTACAGAATCAACGCTCGAGAGCCTTTGTCTCTCCGAATTAAAAGCGCGCCCCGTTGCGATTCTTAATTCGACCCTTGCTCGCGAGAATAAATGTGTACAGTACCTGTTGCGTCCGCGAACGGTGTCGAAACAATCGCTGGGTAACTCCATTCTCCTTAGAAATCATTGGACGTCCTACGGTTGACGAGTTGACCGATGCGCCGGAACCCGGTCCACCGCAAATATCCTTCCGAAAACAAAAGCGTCGGCGTGTCGTTCGGCCATGTTTACGTCCTTAAGCGTCGCGATGAACTTTCGACCGGGAGCGTGTAAACAGGACGTTAATCGCAATCAAATCCAACGACTGAGCACCGTTTCCATCCCTCGCGCACGACTCGTTCAAAACTTTTCGTACCGTTCGTGTCACCTTCCAACGTATTTACAACGCGACCTTCCTAATCACACGAGCGAAATTCGATCAGCGAATCCAAATTAATTCTTTCTAGACGACAATTTGGAATATCGGTCGCTTCTGGCATTGGAATTAGCCAAGCACTGGACCAGAGTTACTCGTTTGAAAATGTATTCGATTCGAATCTCGCGCGGTGATAACTTTGCGATATTGTTAGATTCCTTTGAACTTGCTCGCGATTGATATGTAAATGGTTTTGATACGTACACCGATCAATTTCCCAAAAACTTTTGTATGAAATTGTAGTTTCTTAACTTCTTCTTTTACAATCAATGATATTTTACGTATTCTCGGAAGTCTCTAAGATAGATATAGCCCAAACAACATTTACTAGTCAATATAATTTCTGACGTTAACAAAAAGAATGCGAAAAGTGGGTAAAAGTATAGAAGCAATAAGTATACTGAAATATATAACAATAAATATATTTGTACGATTCTTATGACGAACCATTTACAGTACAGTTTGTAACGTAAACGCATTAGTTTATTGCTCCGTACGAATTAGAAAACATCAAATTTCCAGTAAAGCAATTACTTCGGTAAAGTTAATCAATTATAATTTTACATAGTTCTTTTGGAATTTCGTGCACGATAGTTTCAACAAATAAATAAATTTTGCGTATTTGTACTGTGGTGGCACCTCCGCTCTTCGCCACTAGAGGGAAACTGCGGACCACGTGTTTCCCACAAGCACTCCGAACTTCAAATAGCGTACCGATAAGTCCACTATCAGGCCCAGAATGAAACGCTCCCTTCCTTTTCTCCTCGCATGCTCTCCCACAACAAGCATCTACCGCCACCAGTACCAAAATGCTTTTCTCTATCAGTAGTACGCACAATGCACAGGCAATACGCTAATTGCTGTGTCCTTGTGGTCGTAATGAGATACGGGAAATTGATCGTTTGTAACTACAGACTTCATATCGGTGCACAAATATGGTAATGTACTTGTACGTTACGATCTAGTTTACATAGAACAGTTGACTCGTGGGCAAGCGCTCGATTCGTATCGAGCTAGAATAACAGTCGTATTAAACGTTCGTTTATTTTAAAAATTAATTGAGAGTGAAAAATATAAGTCGCAAAATTGATTAACGTGTTTACCCGATATGCTCGAATGATTAAATTAGTCAACTTTTTAGAAATTAATATTGTATTATCGATAAAGTACCATCAAACGGCAGCGTTCGGCCGCGTATAAAGTTGAGAATTTAACTTTGATAAATATTTCTCGTTAATGTATCTAGAAGGAAGTTATAACGAAACGGTAATTTAGAAATACGGAATGTTCCCAATATTTCTGGAAATTAAATTCTTTACTTTGCACACGACGGAGAGTATCGATGCTGTATTGACGCTTCGAAACAAAAGGATGACATTTATTCTCAGGGAACTATTAGCACCGAAAGTTGAATAAAAAAATTCATCGTTATTCTCTTTACATATTCTCAAAGTTTATTTTGAAAACTTGCCAGCATTCGAAAATGTTTAATAACGACAGTTGCACCCATTACCGTGGAACTATTTATTAACTTAACTGCTTTTGATGTTCGTCTAGTCGAATCGTCTTTATATATTTTCAATTACGCGAACACAGTCGGTTACGATCGAGAAACTTATGTAGCGTCTACAGGTTAAAGCGTGTAAATCAATTGTGGAGTCACGTTTCACGCGAAACAGCCGAACTTTCCCGGAAAGCGAAAGATGCAAACGGCCAGGTAATTCTACTCGAACAGTTAAGAAACTCTGAATTCCGCTAACGCTCCCTTAACAGTTTAGCGAGACCATTCAGACCCGAAGCCAGAGGGCGAAGAAGCCAACTGCGAAATTCCGTCTCTATCTTCGATGCCCCCGAAGACGTCGTTACACAGTTTTCACATTGTTTTCTAATGCCCAGCTGCGATACAAGTAATTTGTTAGTATCGGCAATATGTTTTCTGCAAATCTTCGATCAGAAGAAATTAACGAGCTTTTAGATTCAAAGACATCTTTTTCGATAGAGTGGTTCTCTGTATGATTTATATATATTTTATTTAAGAGACTACGGACTCGTTCGACTAATTCGACCAACCGTGGTAAGTTTGACGTCAAATATAAGAACCGAAGGATCGAGAAAGGTAGCAGTGAACTTTCCATACGTTCGAGCGTTGCGTGATGAGGTCGCCAGGACGAGTGGTTCGGTAGAATGATCGAAGAAAGTTTAATTGGGGTCGAATAAGAATTTCTTGTCGCGAACAATTTGACGCCTATCAGATAAACAGCTTTTCAACGGAGTCGAAGCGCTATTCTCGGTGCATTGAAGTTCGTCGCGTAAGCCGGAAGCCCGGATCGTCCTTGGGTTCGATCCCACCCCCGTCGACTTCCTTCCAATTTTCTCTGACCCGCTTTGCAGATGGGAGTTCGAGCTGAAGACCGGAGCTGAGACCGGTCTGCTTCTCTACAACACCGGGCAATCATCGTACGCCGATTACCTCGGGATCGAGTTGTTCGAGGGTAAAATTCGTCTTCTGATGAACAAAGGGAACGGACCGACGGAGTTGATACACGGCACGCCGGTGGCGGACGGCAAATGGCATCGCGTGGTCGTTGATTTCAATCCGAGCGGAATCGGGATCGCCGTGGACCGACAGGAAAAAACGATCACGTTGCCGTCGGGCGGAAATCGTTACCTCGACCTGGCGGACACCCTCTACGTGGGCGGCACGGAGCTGAACAAACGCGCCAAAGCGTTAGGGAAAGGCCTCAAGTCCGGGGACGTCAGCTACAAGGGTTGCCTGCGAAACATGCTGCTGGACAACAAGAAACTCGGTCTGCCCGACGTCAAGATCAGCCAGGGCATCGTGGTCGGCTGTGTTTGGGGATATCCGTGCATCGAGGCTGTCCCCTGCGTTTCTGCCGCAATTTGCTCCCAGCTGGGCGTTAGCTCGTTCAAGTGCGACTGCGACCAACCGTTGTGCATCGAGCCGAACTACGTCGCGGATTACAAGGCAAATCGTTGTTCCAAGACAATGCTTGTATCCGGTGAAAGCTTCTCGCTCGCATTAGCATCCAACTGGGGAGGCTGGTCGATCGGTGACGGAACTGTAACAGAATTTTTGCACGAATCGGAGAGATGTCGCGAGGCTAACAGAAATATCATTCAAGTTGTTTCGAGATAGTCACGAAAAATAAAATATAAAAAAAATTAAAATCGTTTCGAGGAAACGATGATCGATGTAGGATCCAAGGACTTGAAGAGAGATCTTCTGGATCCTCTCTTTCGGCAGTTATCCTTGTAACAGTGGAAGATTTTTAAGGGTCTGCAGTTGTCCTTCGTCTTTTCTGCCCGGTCCCCGACAACTCGGCCACTTCCTGACAAAGCCCACTTGACTTACTTTAAAAAAAAACCCTTTTCTCTTTTCTTTTCTCCCCTCTCTCCCCTACCTCCTCCTTTTCCTGCTCTCGGTTCTCTATGCATTTTCTCACCGACTCTTGTTTGACTTCGACTAAAACCAGTTTTCACTGGCATCTTCGAGTCACACTATTCCCGAACCTGTATTGTACTCTCTCGATCCGCGTAATAAATCTCTTAAAAAATCTCTCACCGCAACGAAAAGTCTACCGTTTCATACGCGACAACGGGATACGTTCATTCGGATTTATGCAACATACTCGCGTGGAGAACATTGCCGAGGCGATGTTCGCGATCCCGTATCAATCTGAAATCTATCGAGTAATAAAACGTTAAACTCTCTCATATAAAGTACGTTAATTGCGTTATACCCGTCGAAACAGCAATTTGAACATTGCTGCCCGGGAGATAAAAGAAGCGTGTTCGTGCTCGCGTCGAAATGAGCAGAGGCGTTATCGAATATTTCCCGTGGACATAGTTCAACGTTTCCTCATAAAAAATGTTTCATAAATCCAAGCGAAATGATCCGGTTCCTACTTTATTAACCTTTCGCTGCAATGATTTTTTTTTTTTTTTTGTTTACCCTCAGGAACACTGAGTAGACGCGAAATAAACCGCCATCACTCGCGCAAAGTAATCTCGAAATGTTCCTGAAAATGTTTGCGTTTCATTTCGAAAGGAAACAGTTGCGAGTAAACAAAGTTATTAAAACATCGATAAACGAAAATTATTGTAGATTGGTAACATCGAGTAATAAAACATATACGTAGTTTATTGTGTGTTCCGAAGGGGTTTACGTGTCTTCCGATCCCAATTCCGTGCAGCGAAGGGTTCAAGCATTTTTGTTCTCTCTGTAATGTTTTATTTGATCTGGAATTCCATAGGTTTATTCGAAGATGAATTTACCCGTGAACCTGGAGATCCTCTCGCTGAGTCCTCTGGTGGTATCCGAGGGGAAACACGTACTGGTGACGAGTGATAACATTGCCATGGTGTTAGACATCGCTAAATACGGGGTGGAAGAGGACGGTGTTATCTTCACCTTGGTAACACCGCCCACCTATGGAACCTTAATCCTGAATCTCTTGACGACCAGAACCGAGCATTCCTTCACTCTCCAAGACGTTAATCGCGATAAGGTAAATACACTTCCACCGAACCACGTGGAGTCCTTCAAGTTCGCTAAAAACAATACCATGGTATATAGCTGACGTCTTGCGAGTGCGTTCGCTTTAAAATGTAATTCATTCTACGTCGAAAATTGAAAGCGAATTCATTCTTCGATCGCAAACGCTGATATTCGTTAACTTAACGAAATTAATACCGACGATTATGTTCGAATACTCTTTAACAAGTATGCCAAATTCAATTTTGCTCGTGGGCCACATCGTGCTTCGCTACCATGCCGCAAACATGCAATTAGCTCGCTGAAAAGTACACTTTAATTTGAAACACGTTAATCGATGTCTGATAACGTGAGAGAGCGAAAAAAGGAACGGGGAAAATCGTGTGTTCTTCCCGGTCGTCATAGAGCCGAAACGAGCTATAGATAGTTAGCGACACAAGGACTAACTTTAGAACCGTGGGGGTCCGTGTAGCGTCGCCGTGTCGTCAGAAACTCTCGTGGTCGTCCTCCTCTACTTGCACTCGATTTATCCAGCGACGGTGCTCTATTTATAAACACCCACCACCGCTCATTAATGGTTTTTCGTGGGTTTACATCGACCCGGGACCGCGTATTCTTTAACGTTACACCGCGCCTTACCGCGAGTTATTTCTTTCCCGACGTTTACCCAAACCACCCCCTAAGCTTCATCCCGGAGGATCCTAGCCGAGGCAACGCGCAGACACGTCGATCCTGTATGCTAATCGTCGATTTATAAACCCGCCTCTGCCGCTTTAATTAATTTTAATTACGGACGGGAGACGGATTTAACGTTGGCGATGATTCACAATGGCTAAGAATATAAAGGAAATTTTGTTTAAAGCGTTAAAAATGGCGTGCTGCGCGGAAGATACCAGAGATATTCGCGATATTAAAGAATTTATTGGTTCGTTAAGGAAGAGGAAGGAAAAAGAAACTCGAGAATTTCGAGACGTAGAACTCGCCCGTCTTGGAAGCAAAACGTAAAACACGGAGAGGAGAATTTCTCGTTTCGCTCTGTATCGCTCAACGCGCCTCGTTAGAAATACAATGTAAACAATCCGTGTGAAACGCGCTAAGGAAATTTTACCACATGTTTTCTTTTTTCTTATGGACAGTTGTGCCTTCGAGCCCGAGACCGAATACCGTTGGGATCCCATTTACAAACAAAGAAACGAGTTGAGAACATTTTTTCAATTGTTGTTTCAACTCGATGCCACGCCCTCCTCTTTGAAACATACATATCCATAGGTTCCTAGAAACATCGTTTTTCGTCATGGCGAATCGTCTGATTATTGCGATCAAATTTCTGGCAGATTCAATACGCGCACGACGGCAGCGAAACCACAGAGGACAGTATGATCATGGAAGTGACACTGGTGCCAGGAACCGGTTACACGTTGCCTGGCTACCTCCAAGGACGACTAAGGTTTCCGCTTCACGTCAACGTGACGCCCGTTAATGATCCGCCATTGCTCGACATATCGACCGCGAAAGTGCTGCGTCTGGCTCAAGTAAGACACAAAAAGACCATCAATTCTTGTATACGCCCGTGAAATTTTCTCCTTCGGAAGATCCATCTGGCGGGGAGCTACGGGCCGAGTTAGTCGTAATTGGTGCAAAATGCCCGACACTTACCCCGCGCGACCCTCCCCGTTAAATCAATTAATCGAGAATTGAAGAAATTGTGGCCCGTCTTCAGGGAACGCGGCAGTCGAGTCGTAACGAAATCGATTTAAGTCGCTCCAGTCGTTGCCCTTAATTAACCGCTTGGTGCTTCAATCTTCTTGGATGAGATAATTCCTCTTACCGTAAAAATTCGCTCGTCGACCTGTTCCGGTGTTCAAGATCGCGCTTGTTTAAAGTTCTTCGGTTAAAAGATCGAAAAATAATTAAGCAAACGGGCTAGAACAACGCGATCCAGGTTGACGATAGCCTCCCCACCTGTAGTCTCATCCCTGAAATCGATAATACGTACTTCAAACATTTTTCATTATAGACAGACAGATGTTATTTCCTAACGCATTGTTGACCGGAAATTTTGCACAGGAACGAGTTCACGTCACCGGCTATTATTTCGTAATTGAATGTGAAATTAAAACAATCCAAATAAACTCCAATAAACTTTATTTATATTTTACCGATGTAATGAATTCAAATGAAATATTCTACATACATAACACGGTGAACAAAGCTTTTGCAAGTACAAACACGAGTTTACTAGCGAATGGTCAACGTTGCGTTAAGCTTAACGTCGTTCGTCTCACGGATAGCAATCACGAACAATTTCACCCTTTTCAGGGCACAAGGAAAATTTTGACGAAAGAGTTGATATGGGCTATCGACGCCGACACGCCATCGGACATGTTGGTTTACACGGTCTTGCATACCGGACGGTCTTACGATGCAGACGCCGGCTACGTCGAGAGGGTGACTTATCCGTCGCGGCCCATCGACACGTTTACCCAGGCGGAATTAACGCAAGGATTAATTGCCTACGTGCACCGTGGAAACGGTAACATTCTCATCGATATTCGAAACGCAAACGAACTATGCGCTGTTTGATCGGCCGCGTATACTTACAATTATATAGCCGTTTCTCGATAATTCAATGCTCGCTTTAATTGCCATTCCCAGCGAAGCCGAACGCGAAACTGGACCTCCAGGTCAGCGACGGGATAGAAAGGAGCAAGCCGGCGAGCTTGAGGGTAGCGGCCCATCCCTTGGAGATCAAGCTAATGCACAACACGGGTCTGGTCGTAGTGCACCGATCCTTCTCGTATCTGACACCTGCGAACCTATCCTTCGCCACCAACTCCGACGACAACACTATCGACATATGTTACGACGTCGTCTCGCCGCCCCAATACGGCGCTATTCAGAAGCTGAAGGACGTCTCCGGCAGCTGGACGAACGTGGATCGTTTCACGAGCAAGGACGTAGAGCTGAACACCGTCCGCTACCTCCACAACGAGGGTAGCCCCAATCAGGACGAGTTCAAATTTCAAGTAAGCGTCAGGGAAGTCAGGACATCGCACACCTACGACTTTCGTGTCACCTTCATCGATCTCGAGCTGAAGCAAACCAAGAAGGTGCCCGTTAATTTCACCAACGTCGCCGAGGTGGCAGTCACCGGACAAAACCTCAGGTATCAAAATAACGATATGGTCTCGACACGCGATCAGTGTTTAACTATAGATGGCTGGTCTTTTTGAGAAAAAACGACCGACCGTAGTTAAACACTCTGTGCGTACGTAACGTAAAGATCAACGATATTGTAAGAGTCTAAACGAAAACTAAGGCACCGAGATTCTCGAGATCAACGATCCTCGGATCCACAGTCGACCGCTTTACTTACCGTTGGGATCCCATTTACAAACAAAGAAACGAGTTGAGAACATTTTTTCAATTGTTATTTCAACTCGATGCCACGTCCTCCTCTTTGAAACATACATATCCATAGGTTCCTAGAAACATCGTTACTCCCTACTACTTCTCGTTTGACTCCTTATACTACAATATTCTTATTACCGTTTCGGTGACCTCTTACAGATACCAAACGAACCCGCTGGTGACCGCGTTCAACAAGATCGTCTTCACCGTGAAGACGGGGCCACGGTACGGTAACCTGTTCCTGTCGAGTCAGAGACTGAACGTCGGGGACCAGTTCACTCAGGAAGACGTCGACTCCGGCAGGCTCAAGTATCGTCTGTTCAAAAGGGCCTACTCAACGATCGTCGACGAGTTCGGTTTCAAAGTGAGCGCGCCGCAGTGCGTCGATTTGCACACAAGCCTAAGGCTCAGGCACTACCTCAGCAAGAACGTAAAGCCATTGGACAGTTTGGAGGTGCTCCAAGTGGACGAAGGCTCGAGGGAACTGGTGAGAATTCAAAAGACGAATCTAAAGGACTACGGGGTCGCTTCGTTGATGTACAATCTGACGATGGAACCTCGCCACGGCTGGTTGACCGTCACGAACAACTCAAAGGCTCACACGCGAAACGACACCCTCTACTTTTCGTCCGAGGAGCTGGCCTCGCACAGGGTCTACTACGTTCACGACGACTCGGAGACGCGGAAGGATTCGTTCCAGTTCGTGGCCGTGGCCGTGGACGCTGTAGACTTCATGTACGTCGGTATATTTCGCGTCGAGGTGACGATGAAGAACGACAACGCGCCGGAACGCGTGGTGAATAGGGTGTTCCACGTTGTATCGAAAGGCGAGAGGTTGCTCACCAGCAAGGACCTGGCGTACATGGACAAGGACGTCGACACCAAGCCCAGCGAGCTGATCTACACGAGACGAGACACTCAGAGGTACGAGATCTACAGGGTGTCCAATCCCTCGGTGCAGATCCACGAGTTCAGTCAGCAGGACATCGATGACGGACAGATACTGTTCAAGCACCAGGGCGAGGATCACGGCAAGTTCGAGTTCGGCGTCACCGATGGACATTTTTACACGGCTGGCGTCCTAGAGGTTCAGGCCAGTTCGCCTTACGTGAGGCTGAAGGAGAGCAATGGGTCCGTGGTGCAGTTCAATCGATCGGTGACCCTCGGCCCGGACGAGCTGGACATAGAAACGAACGTGTACACGACTGAGAAGAACATCAAGTACGTGGTGCTGGAGAAACCGAAACACGGGATACTGCTTAAACACGGCAACGAAGCGAACACCTTCACCGAGGAGGACCTGCGACACGGTATAATGGCGTACAAACATCTGGGTGGGTCGTTGGTGAAGGACGACTTCAAGTTCAAGGTGTCGACGAAAGGCGCCGAAACGGACGGCGTCTTTCCGATCAAGATCTACCCTGAAAGCTACTGGCAACCCCTGATCGTTCAGAATAATAAAACGGTGTTCGTAGAAGAGGCGACGAGCGTCCTGTTGAACAGAAAGAGCTTCGAAATCATGCATCCCAAGATACCAGACTCCGAAATAGTTTACTTCCTGAAGGAGTGGCCGCAGAACGGGTACTTGGAGCTGCAGACTCACGACGAGCACAGCGACGAAACTCGAGAGGACTACATTGGTAATAATTCACTGCTAGTATTACTATTACATAGGTAATAATTCATTATCTTCGAATAAATGTGAAATTCGCTGATACGTTTGTCTCGTTTCCTCTCTTGAACATTTTCCACAGAAGGAAACGAGACAAACATATCGGCAAACTTCAGATTTATTCCAAGTCTAGGATTTCGACCATCTTCTAACTTTTTAAGTTACAAGCTCGTAAAACGTACGACATACTCTTGCGCGTACTATTCACCTAACACGACGAATATAAAAACCGTAGGTAACGCAGTCAAGTCGTTCGACCAGAAGATGGTGAACGAGGGGAGAGTTTTCTACGTGCAGTCGGTGATAAACCAGACCAACGACAAGTTCGTCGTCGACGCGACGAACGGGATAACGTGGCTGCGCGACCTGAGCGTGAACTTCGTGATCGTCCCAGAGAAGCTGTACGTCGAGGCGAAAGGTCTCGTCGTGGTCGAAGGGAAGAGTGCCACGCTACACGAGAAGAACTTCTCGATCCTCACTCCCTACTACTCTGGCAAGGTGACGGACTATCGGGTCACCGAGAAACCGAGGCACGGTACCGTTCTAGATACAACGAAGAACGCTCCAGTGAAGAAATTCTCGCAGAAACACCTAATCGCGAACATAATATCGTACAAGCATAACGGCGACGAGACCTCCAAAGACTCGTTCAAGATGGTCCTTGTCGCGGGGGACAAAGCCAGCGAGCCCTTCGACGTTTGGGTGACGGTGGAACCCGTTAACGACGAGCTGTCTGTGCTGGTCAACAGGACAAAATTAACAGTCTGGCAGGGTGGTTCGATCGTCTTGACCCCAGATAGTCTGGCAGCCGTTGATAACGACACGACAGCGCGGGAGTTGACGTTCAACGTCACCGGAGTTAGAAACGGATTTATATCAACCACGTCCTCTCCGGAGGTGGACGTTTACAATTTCACCCAGGAACAGATTGACCAGTCGAAGATCATTTTCACACACACGAGTGAGTGCTGTAGATAGGCTGACTGCTTTTATTTCAGTATAATCTTAACGCGTACTCTCTATGTCCATTGAAGAAGTTTGACTAAAATAAATAATAGTTTTGATATCAACAAATGAATATTTCATTATAAATATGTATGGACCATACAAACATACACTTGGAAACATTAAACCCACCATGTAATGTAAACAAATTTCTTCAATAAACATAGAGGGTAGGAATATTTAAGGAATGAAATAAATTAATTCCGAAGACGAGATGTTAAAGAAAACGAATAAACATAGAATTGTAAAAATAAGCGCTAGTTTAAATTCAACGAAAATAAGTTTCAGTCGTATAGAAACAAAAAGTTAGACTCGTATTTTCTGCGAACAGTTTCAATAAAATGATTGTCGTTAAGGCAAAGGTGACCTGATTTTCAAATCTCAAATTAGAGATCTCCTTTTCGAAGTCAATCTAAGCTTAGCATTCGCGACAATAGAATGCTAAGAAAGCGTCTCAAGAAAGCGTCACCTGACAGATACCAGAAAATAAGGCCTCGAGTACAAAGGGTCAACCGCGTAAGTAAATAAAGGAGAACTTCCGTTTCAGATGGATCCGATGCTGAGTTCAATTTCGTTCTAAACGACGGGGTGCACACGTCCGAGCCTTACACGATATCGGTAGCCACCAAGCCGATTCGATTGTCCATTGAACACAACGCCGCGTTGAACGTCTTCCCGCTAACTAGAAAACTGATATCGGATAAGTTGTTGATGACCAAGTGCTCGGACCAAGCGCGAGAAATTAAGTACACGGTGCGCAACGGGCCGCATCTAGGAAAAATAATCATGGAGACGAGCGAGGGCGCGTGGCTGAATGTCGACCGATTCTCCCAACGAGATATCAACGGGAGCAAAGTATTCTACGAGCACACTAAACAGTTCATGGACTTGGCCGCCAACGATTCGTTCACGTTCGACGTGGAAGCGCACTTCGCGGAATCCTTGACCAACCAGGCAAGTATACACATCTCGAAGGGCGTTTCCAACCCTTTCGAAGCTTCTTATTAAACGAAAAGCACCTGATTTTAACGAACGTTCCATTCGCAGGTGTTTCAGATAGACATCTCCGTGTCCAGTGGCGGTCTTGACAGGTACATCTCCGCGAAGAACGTGAGAGTCGAGGAAGGAGGCTCCGCTCAAGTGATCATGAACATCAGTGGAATCGTGTCGTTCCTCCAAACCCACGCTGGCATCGAGAACCCGGCCGTGCTCTCGAGACTGGTCAGCCAACCCAGTCACGGTCACGTAATGATCGTTCCAGACTTGAACGTGACCACGTTCTCTCAGCCTCAGATCGAGGGTGGAAAGATCGCGTATTACCACGATCACTCGGATACTTTGGAAGATCGTATCTACTTCTCCCTTTACCTGACGCCTGGTCATATCCTCCTGTGCAACACCAGCGTGTCGGTGATCGTCGAGCCTGTAAACGACGAGCCATTCAAGCTGACCACGAAGGATCCGTCCATCACGGTGGTGCAGAATCAGAATCAAACGATAGCGAGGGAAAATCTGTTGACGAACGACCCTGACACTCCACCGGAAGAGATAGTGTACGACGTGATATCGGGGCCTACTTACGGCCGTCTGTTACTGCTGCCCTTCAACGAGAACATCTCGGAGGTGCGTCAAGTGAACAAGTTCACTCAGCACGACGTCGACTCGAACCGACTGGTATACGAGCACAACGGACCCCTTCAGACAGCCTCGTTCTACTTCCGCGTATGGGACGGTCGTTTCAACCCGACGTACAAGGTCTTCAACGTCTACGTTTTACCGATCAGGTTGAACGTCACCGTTCCCGGGCCGGTGAACTTGCAGCAAGGCTCGAACGTCGCACTGATATCCGAGAGCACCGTGAATCTCGACACGAACGCCAGACAGGACCTGGTAGTCTACGAAATCACTAGCAAGCCAAAGTACGGTGTGCTGTACGTGAGGGACGGGGCGTCCGCCAGTTTCAAGCAGACCGACCTGTTGTCCAAGAGCGTGATGTTCATGCAAACGGACATGACCGTGTCGAACGACAGCCTCGAGCTCACCGCCCGGTTGAGCGGGTTCGAGCAAAAGCACATAAGAATCGAGATCAGAGTGGTGCCGCTGATGATCATGAATCCCATGATCGCTTTAGCCGGGGAGAAGACTCGAATAACTCTGAAGCACATGGACGCCACCCCGCTGGCGAAGCTGACCAACAGCAACCCCGTGTACACCGTCGCCAGGAAACCAAGGTTCGGTAGGGTGAAGAGGATCATCAGAAGCTCGTCGTCGTCTGGCGAGAAACGGGGAACCAGGGAGAAGGAGGTGGTCAGGTTCTCCCATCAGGAAGTGGTTTCAGGTGTGATCTACATGGTGTGCAAAAAAATTTCGACGTTGGAGTACGAAGGCGTCGTCGACAGTTTCGCGTTCGTCCTGGCTGCCTCGATCTTCCAGCCAGCCGTGGGCGAATTCGAGTTCCGCGTGAAACTGGACATGGACGAGAACAACACCACTTTGGGGGGCCCGATGGACCCCGTGGGTCACGAGGGTGAAATGGCGATCGCGCCGAACATGAGCAACGACTACTTGCCACTTCTCGGTATGCTTCTCGGCGTGTTCCTGCTCGGGGTGCTCGTGATCGTCACCATCAGGTGCAGGCACAACAGGTACAAGCACGCCGAGGAGGAGAAACCGGAAACCACGCCAGCGGTAGGCGTGATGCCTCTTCCTAGACCACCCGATCACTTGATGCCAGCGACACCCCATTTGAAACGCTTCGCGAACGATCACAACAGCGTGGCCGCTAGTACACCGTTGCCCGTGTTACCTACGATGACGTCGACCCTACCTCAATGCAAAGTGATACCTCTGAGCCCTCTGGAAAGCATCACGGGCTCGGAAGTGGACGTTTCGGCCAGGTATCCTTACGGCGTCGCGGACGGCGACGAATGGAGCAGCTTCGACACGTCGGCGGATCTACCCTGCCAGTCAGCCACCGCCCAGAGGGCCAACAATCCCATGCTGAGAAGAAATCAATACTGGGTCTAGCAGAAGGAAGGCTGTTCGCGTTTCACGCGAATCAAGCCGTAACACATACTCCAATTCTGAAAGACTGTACTTTTATTACGAACTACTTCGAGACTGGTCGTCGATCGCTATGGTTCTAATGTGCCTAATGAGCAGTGGACTCTGCGAACGCGAGGGTATACCAAAAACCCCTCGAGTTTATAACGGAACCTTGACGGAAACTCTTTCTCCCGGCGCGCCGTGTGCTGATACGGACACCTTTACATAAAATGTGCCAAACATTTTATACTACTCGCGAGGTATCGTCGAGATCGAACGCTGTCGAGTCGAGGATCGGAGTTTCCATCAAATCTCTTCGTTTTCTTTCTTTTTGTACGTCATAGACTCCGCCTGGAACACTAACTACACACACGCATGAAATTAATAATAACATACGTACAGCGAGAAGCGTAACCGAACCAATAATAGAACGTTTCGTAAAAACGATCGTTTATCGTCGTACGCCGGAGGTGATAATAGAAATAAACGTAACTAATGTACCCGCTAGCGATCGTCGTTATTTAATATTTCTAGAGATCTTTCGAATGTAAAACAGCGTTGATACGTATCGATATACTTTCTATAAAATTGAAATAAATTTATATCTATGTACATACATAAGTTTGTTATTTCTTACATTGTTCTTCGTAACTCGATGTGCAGTAAACCGAATGCTGTAGCTCTATTAAAAAATTCACGCGTAAAGAGCTCTCGGGGGATGTAGAAGATTTAGTGGAAATTGTATTATTCCAATTGTTTATTGTTCGCGAAGATAGACGATATTTTCTAAGAAACGTACGGTTATCGGTTCCTGTATGTTCATCGCTGTACGTTTTACGTGATCTATAACGAAGTATATCGCGGTGTCTCGCGACTATAGTCTCGCGTACTATAGTCTCCTCGTGAAATTAGGGGGAACTACAGTCGAAACGAAATCAAAATCACTTTCTCGACCGTGAATCGCGCCATGCGCGTCTCCTACTTACCTGAAGAACCGACAGATGGCGCACGGATGCACCGGTGGTTTGTTTTGTATTTTTATAGCGCTTATAAAGCTACTTTATTCGTCCGCATCTATTTTTCTGATACTTTTTCTTAAAAGAGACCTCTTTTTCCTTTACCATCTTATTTTTTCCATTACTTATCTCACGCCACAGGCTTTCGATACTTTTTATATTTAGCCATACCTCGAAAAACTGGGCCGGACGTCCGGAATTCGAACCCGTGATAATCCGCCCCCGCACGGATGCAGCGATGTCCTTGGCGAACTAGTCTTCGCACTTTAATCAAAAAATTCAATAAATAACCATTTGATCTCGTTCCGACTTTAGTCTCGCTAAATACAAAGGGATACAAAGTCAAAGACTATCGTCGCTATTACGGATCGAATGTGCCTAAAGAGATTACCGAGTCTTGTAAGAGTATTCGCCACGAGGCCTGCACGACGTCGACTTTTACGATATCTTTCCTCTTGGTTAGACGTCGACTTGAAACGATCTTCTGACCACATCGATCGGTATGTTTCCACTCCTTCGGTATTCCATAATGGTACATCTCGCACGATCCAACGATTCATTATAAACGAGGGCCAACGTCATACACGGAGATCGCTTGGGTAACGAAAGTATTCGGACAATGAATTCAATTGCCAAGACGACGATATTCTTTTCTCAAATTCTTGCCAACCTAGAAATACGACAAATATTTTCTTATACCCTGTACATAGTGTATAGATTATCGTTTCTTTTTAATACCGAATAATTTCTTAAGGCATACATCGATCACCGTTACCTTCGATGCAGTAATTTCCAAACTTTCTGAAAGGCGCACCCTTCCTCTCCCTCGTTATTATGTTTACTATCCGTAACACAAAATTTATGTAACATAGATGCATCGCTTTCTCGTACTAAAAACTGAAAGATGGGAACATTTATTGATACAAGAGAAACGTATTCCTGTAGTTTTTAAGCTCCAACGATAAATGTATCGAACTGTATTTTCTTTCCTACCCCTTCTTAGATCACACAGTCTCCCCTCTCGCCAGAAAACGCTGCCCCCGGTTTGGAAAACACTGCTTGAATCTTTACCGAGACGTAACGTTCGCAAACTAATCGAACGAATTCTAGGTCATCGTGAATTATATCGTGGATGCCTCCGCACGAATAACAAGAAGGAACTTGCATCCACGGAGATACAATATCTCTATGGTTGTATCGCGTAGGAACGATTGCAACAATTGAATAAATTAGTAAACGACGAATCGAAACGTACGTCACTGTCCGAGCGTTTCCGTTACTCGCACGAACTCGAGAAGAATGCCGAGAGTGTTTGCAAACAGTATCGGGCGCCAAATACTATACATAGTTACCTAAACATTTGTATAAAGTGACTACAAAGAGAACTGAGTATTTCAGATTTATATACACACATACGTAACACACGAGAACTGTATAGAAATTATCAGCGACTTTTATAATTGCGTAAACGTGGGTGTTTGGTGCATGCGGTACAACAAGGAACACTTCGAGTTTCGCACATATCTTTTTACACCTTTCCCGCGTGTTTCTACTGACTCGCGTCGTACCAGCATCGACCTATCGAATTCTCTTTAAATTTCGACGAGCCCGCCGAACTCTACTGATATGCTACAGTTCAGTGGGCGAGCCTAATCTGCGTTCGTTTCCGTTACGCGATTCTTATCCGTCGGACTGAAAAATTATTCACAAGTCCCAGCGAAGATGTACATAACCGCATGCGTATGCTCGTTCGTGATTTCCGTTGAAGAACTTGAATCGAGGATGCCAAAAATGACTCTGTACGCACTCGTCGAGCTGCGTGCTTCTTTTTCAACATGCTTGTTACGCGCGACGTTGCCTTTCGCTTATCAGAAACCAGAGATGGGCAAAATTCTTCTCCGCGGTTCGTTCACGAGGGAGATAAAAAACGAGGCAAACAGTCCATGTAACTGCGACAGGCCTGGAACGATCTATACAAGTTATCCATTTACAAATAGTAACGATTTAACAAATCTACGTGCGCTATATCAACAAGAGAGAACAAATAAAGTATCCGGCATCGTAACCTCAGAACCAACGAGATCTTCTCCGTGAACGGATAGTAGACACTTTCGAATAGTGAATAAAAAATAAACAATCGTTTACTCGTCAAACAAAAATTAGAATCCGAACTATAGAATTAAACGTTACGCAACGAACGAATGAAAATTTTACTGTTCGAATAGACGTCAGGAATAAACTGCTACAATAATACGTTGGTTTTATTCGTTATTTATTGTTCGAGTAAAATGTTGCCCAGCTCTGTTAGAAACGATCGAATCGACTAACTAGCAGAACGTTCCGAATTTGAAATTTTTTCGCTGTCACGCGCGCGTACAAACTAATCTTGTACGTACTGCGCGAAATTATCCGCTGAGCATTCTTATTGGTAATCCAGCATCGAAGTTTCGAAATTCTGATCCCATTATCGGCGACGCGGTTCGAAGGTCAATTGTTTTTTTTTTTTTTAAAGCCTTTCGAACGAATCGTCTCGAATCAAGCTTCTTTTAGCAAAGACGAATTTTGTTCCCTTCGGGTCGCTCGGGAATCGTCGATCGCCGTACGAAACGTGCGAACAGCGTTCTGCTTAGTTTCTCTTCAGTATTATAATAAATTAGTGTATCGCTGGATTGATCGATAATAAGAATTCGATGCCAACGGTACGTCGTTTCCCGCGCTTGTCGATCCTCTATAGACATTAACGTCACGTCTTCTGAGCCTGCGCAAACTCACAGTGACCTTAATTAACGACGACTTCTTTAAACCCTGGGAACGTATAATTAAGGAAACGCTCTAACGTCGATGTTAATATAGTGATAATAACATTATTATTATATATAAATATACGAAATATGTACACTACTACATAGGAAACACTGTTTCACGAATTCATAGCATATGCATTAATATAATAGCTCTGATCGGTGACGCATTACACTATAGGCAAAAACAAATTTGCCCGAGGATCCAAAAAGTCAAAAGAAATGAAAAATTCCGTTGGAACTCAATTATGGCGAACCGACATAAAATTTCTCAGGCTGATAAGCAGAGTCTAAATTTTATTTCGTCTTTTGCTTCGTGGATGTATAATGCGTCACTGGATTTGATCGCACGATGATGGAGAAGAGAAGATTTTCATCAAAAATTCGTTTATCGATTAATGAATATGCTATATAAACGAACAGTTAGGCTTTTTTACCATCCCCAAAAGTGAACCGATCCGAGTGCCAAACTTCTTATATTGTGTAATATATAGTTATACATATAGGACTGTATTTTCCCTGCCGACTGAACGCATTACTCTTGTAATTCAAATAAACTGAATGTGCGATGTTGTCTAAAAGAGGCGTGCCACCGTCACGTTAACGAACCTATCCGTTATTGTTTTAATCGTGAGTTAATCGGTCTCGTTAGTTGATAACGTTCGTTCAAAAATGGCGGAAACAGGAGGAGCGCAAAAGGTTCAACTCGCATAACTTTGTGATGCCAGTTTTGGCCCCGAGTCGCGCATGTGCGTCTGAAAAAGCTGAGCGCGCAGTGCCGTAGCTATAGGGGACAACGTATGATTCCATAGCAACGGTTGGCGCCAAAACCAGGAAAACTGTTTTTTTAGATATATGAAATGTGTTTCGTCTGTAAAATTATTTCAATCCCTATCCCTGCATTATAATTTATCCGCACAATTAATATTATTCCATGCTAAAAAGTATTTCCAATTTTCATTTATAATTCTATTTTTGTTTGGGGCGACCAAGGCCGCCAATTTTATGGTCGTATTAGATACTCTATTGATACTAAAGGCAGTTCGCATGCGCGACTGGAAGCCGAATCTGGCATCACAGGTAAGAACGCGGTGTAGCAAAAGTTACTTCCAGTTACTTCTCAACATGGCTTCGTACGTGCGGTAAGTTAATTATTTTCGGCCTTTTAACCTTCAAAATATCAAGATAGATATTCTTCGATCGATAATGCTAGAATCACACCACGTTCATTATTAAATAATTTCTATGCATAAAGAATCATAAACGTTACAACTCTCTTTTAATGTTTATGTACTTTTCTAAATTGCAATAATGGTCACGCTGACGTGTCCATGATAACATCATTTTCGATATAAATGATTTTTTCGAAAAGTACGACACGCAGTACTGCCTCGCTCTTATCGATTTGTTTATAACTCCGATATTATTTGTCCAGACTCGTTCGAAGAGTATCTTTATCATTTATCAACAGTATAAAACAAATTGTATTAGACTGACACAATAACATGACTCTTTAATCCTATTCCGCGATCAATCGAGTATAAAATGTAATCAATGTCGACGAAACCAACGTTCTACCTGCAATTGAATATATTAAACACTTGATCATTCGTGTTGCAGGTTGGGATTATTATTATTATTGGTCTGTTCTTCTTTTCTTGTGAATGCAGTTAATAGAGACACATTTAAAACATGCGATCAAAGCAGTTTTTGCAGGTAAACTTTGATTTAATTTCTGTTTTATTTGCATTGTCTGAAACTTAACTAAATTTCTATCTTTTAACATTAGGCGTTGCAGAAAAGTTGAACCAGGGAAATCACCGTATCAACTTCTGGTAGACACGTTTACTCACAACGAATCAACTATAAATATAGACTTATTTAATAAGGACACAGGGGTTCTTTATATATTGCAATTGACTGCATTGAAGAATAATACATTTAGGCTTCATATCAATGAAAAAAATCCGTTACATCCCAGATACGAACCTACAGAAGCCCTTCAGGATCAACCTCAAATATCAGAATTAACTTTGGTCGAAAGAACTAGCGATCATATAACTGTAAAAAATGGAGTAAACAAAGTCATCTTATACCCTACTCCGTTTAAAGTAGATTTATATTCCGAAGATGCGTTAGTTGTGTCTGCGAATGCGAGAGGCCTAATGAGATTCGAACACCATCGCGTAAAACCTAAGTAAGTCTAACCAAAATAATACTATATCGTTATTTTGAATATTCTGTTTCGGGTAAGTAACAAATTTGTTGTTAACGTGTCGTAGGAAACCGGAAGAGGAAAATGCAGAAAACGTGGACGCAACGCACAATAGTCAGTTTCCAGGCGATGGAGCAGAGGATGATCCGGGCGCGTGGGATGAGAATTTCAAAACCCATCACGACTCGAAACCTTTGGGGCCAGAAGCGGTAGCTCTGGATTTCAGCTTCCCTGGAGCAGACCATGCGTACGGTATACCAGAGCACGCCGATTCCTTTGCTTTGAAATCAACAAAACAAATCGACCCGTACAGGCTATACAATTTAGATGTATTCGAATACGAAACGAACAACAGAATGTCCATCTACGGAGCTATACCTGTCCTCTATGCTCATGGCAAAGACAGAACAACCGGCATTTTTTGGCATAACGTAGCAGAAACATGGATCGACATTTTATCGAGTGCAGACAATAACGTCGTCGAGAACATTGTAAACCTCGTATCCGGTTCCGCTAAAAAGTCACAAGTTGACGCCCACTTCATGTCAGAATCTGGCGTGATCGATGTATTCTTCATGCTAGGCCCTAAGCCTTTAGATGTATTTAAACAATACACCGTCTTAACGGGTACAGCACCTCTGCCGCAAATGTTTAGTTTAGGCTATCATCAAAGTCGTTGGAATTATAACGACCAAGACGATGTCATGCAAATAGCGGAAAGTTTCGATGTACACGATATACCTATGGATGTTATGTGGCTGGATATTGAGTACACAGATCAGAAGAAGTATTTTACCTGGGACCCGCGTAAATTTTCGAATCCCATCGAAATGTTACATAACCTAACCGCGAAAGGTAGAAAATTGGTCGTTATCATCGATCCACATATCAAACGTGATACAAATTATTTCATCCACAACGATGCTACCAATATGGGTTACTATGTAAAAACAAGAGACGGAAAGGACTACGAAGGTTGGTGTTGGCCAGGACCGACGTCGTACTTGGACTTCTTTAATCCAAAAGTACGGGAATATTTTATCAGCCAGTATAGCTTAGATAAATTTCCTAGTACAAACGATCTGTACATCTGGAACGACATGAACGAACCGAGCGTATTTAACGGCCCTGAAGTTACCATGCCTAAGGATTTAATCCATCATGGTGGCTGGGAGCACAGACATGTCCATAACATCAATGGACATCTTATGATCATGTGTACATACGAAGCCTTGTTTAAAAGATCGGGAGGTACTTTGCGGCCGTTTATACTAACAAGATCATTCTTTGCCGGATCCCAACGTTACGCAGCCATGTGGACCGGCGATAATATGGCCGAATGGGATCATCTACGGGCAAGCTATCCAATGTGTCTCAGTGTAGCCATTTCCGGTATGTCGTTCTGTGGCGCGGACGTTGCAGGCTTTTTCAAAAATCCAGACACTGAACTCTTCATCAGGTGGAACCAAGCTGGAGCCTGGCTTCCTTTCTTCCGACAACACTCTCATATCGAAAGCAAACGACGCGAACCTTGGACATTTAACGAAGAAACTACTCAAATCGTCAGAGAAACTTTCAGAATGAGATACTCCTATTTGCCGCTATGGTACACGATATTCCGTGATTATGAGGTAAACGGCAACCCAGTTATACGACCCTTATGGGCTCATTATCCAACCGAAACAGAAACATATACGATCGATGATGAAATACTCATCGGAGATTCGATACTTGTGCATCCAGTCTTTCAACCATCCGTCACGGATGTTAACGTATACTTCCCTGGAGAGGGTAAAGTAACTTGGTACGACGTTGACACCATGCAACCGTATCGTCAACCAGGCATAGTTAACGTCCCTGTAACCCTTCACAAAATTCCGGTATTCCAAAGGGGAGGTTCAATTGTTCCACGTAAAATGAGAATACGTCGTAGCACCGTCGCAATGAAGAACGATCCGTACACTTTAGTAGTCATCACAGATTCTAACGGCAAAGCTAACGGCACATTGTACATCGATGACGAAACTAGCTTCGAGTATCGTCATGGAAAATATCTATATCTAAGACTTAATTTCGAAGAAAATAAACTAAC